TGTGGTAATTTTATTTAAATCCATTTGTTTTGTTTCACCCCACCGATGTGGGATTCCAACACTCCCCCTCACGTGTAACCCCTTTTTAGTGGTTCACACGTGAAGATCCACACATCAGCAATTGAAACTCAAAGGTCGGCTCTCGTTGGGCCCACTTGTTTTCAATGGAACTCAGAGGTTGGCTCTTTTCAAGCTTCATTGGCTCCTTTTTTTTTCTTTTTCTTTTTCTTTAAGAGTCCGACTTGTTTCTCCTTCTTGGTGACAAACTTCGTTAGCTTGTACGGGCCTTGGCTCTGATACCATGTTGAAGTTTTTGGATCTGCCCGATGGGTCCCACTCTAACAACACCGATACTGTCCCCACTTTACCACCTGCCTAATCCGTCAGGTGTGGGGTTTTAACACAAAAGGCCTCGATATTAGTTAGAGTGTGGTAATTTTATTTAAATCCATTTGTTTTGTTTCACCCCACCGATGTGGGATTCCAACACTCCCCATCACGTGTAATCACACGTGAAGATTCACACATCGGCAATTGAAACTCAGAGGTCGGCTCTTGTTGGACCCACTTGTTTTCAATGGAACTCAGAGGTCGGCTCTTTTCAAGCTTCGCGGCCTTTTTATTTTATTTTATAATTTTTAATTTTTAACAGTCTTCTTTAGTCTTGCAGTACAAAGTGGCCTCACTTGTGCTTCTGACATATCCACAGCTAATGAGGTAGACATTGATCTCCTCATACCAGGCTCTTGGAGCCTGTTTTAAACCATACAAGGCTTTCTTCAGTTTATACACCTTATCTTCATAGTTTGGAACCACAAATCCATCAGGCTGATCTACATAGACTTCTTCTTTAAGTACACCATTTAGAAATGCAGATTTAACATCTAACTGGTATAACTTCCACCCCTTTTGAGCTGCCAATGCTACGAGAGTTCTAATGGTGTCTAGTCTGGCCACATGAGCAAAAGTCTCATTGAAATCAATTCCAGGCTTCTGTGCATAGCCTTTGACTACCAGCCTAGCCTTATGCTTCTGTATTGAGCCATCAAGGTTCAGTTTAGTTTTATAAACCCATTTAACACCAATTACAGGTTTGTCACTTGGTCTGTCCACTAGTTCCCAAGTTTCATTCTTCTCAATCATCTCCATTTCTATCTCCATTGCCTTATTCCAAGCTTTATCCCTTGAAGCTTCAGCAAAACTTTCTGGTTCAATGATGCTCATATTGCATCTAGCATAGATCTCATTGATATCTCTGAGCTTCACAGGTGTAGAACTTGGTGATTCATCTGGTGAATCAGCAGTTGAAACATTTGTGATCATCTCATCTGAGCTGGAGATATTTTCAAGCTGTGTTTCAGGTGTAGATGAAGCTGTGACTTAATACTCTTCTTCGGTACTTCTAGAATTGTCTTCAAAGCTCATTGGAACTCAATAGCCTGTTTGTCCCAATCCCATAATGCGCCTTCATAAAAATGACACTTCTAGACACGGTTATCTTATTGGTCTGCAGGTTGTATACTCTGTAGCCCTTTTCACATTTGCCATCATACCCAACAAATTTACACTTCACATCTGCATCTTCCAGTTTAGATCTCAATTGGTTAGGCACATGACAGAAACAGACAGAACCAAACACTCTTAAGTGCTTCACACCTGGCTTTCTGCCACTGAAAACTTCAAAAGGAGTTAGATTATCCAAGGCTTTTGTGGGGCATCTGTTCAGAATGTAGACAGCTGTGTTCACTGCCTCCCCCAAAAATTTGAAAGGTAATTTCTTCTCATTCATCATAGCTTTGTTCATCTCTGCAATAGTCCTATTCTTCCTCTCAGCAACTCCATTTTGCTGTGGAGAGTAGGCCACAGTCAGCTGTCTTTCCAAACCAATCTCTTCACAAAATTGCAGGAATTCAATGGAAGTATATTCTCCACCTCTGTCACTTCTTAGTATGCAAATTGGAATCGACCCTTGTCAGATGCGGGAATCATCTTAGATACATAGAGCATAAGAGGCCCTTCGGGATCACAGTTCCTGATAGCATTTGCATATTGATCATCAAGGGGACCCTCGTACAAGTTCTCAACACGGTATCTCTGGGCAGTTGAAGGAGAGGGAAGGTGAAAGATCATCATTTCCAATAGGGCACTGCTGGCTGGTAGCCAGGTCTGCATGACACGCTTCATCAACGCCTTCCCCATCAGGTCCTTTTCATCACTCTTCATCGTGACACCAAGCTTTGTCAACATGGGCCACAACTTGTCCTTCTGATCATTCATGCAGGTGTTGATAATCTGCTTGATGGGTTCATAACAGAACTGAACGAAACCACGCTTGCAGGTAGCAGAACCAGTGTTCTTGCCGGTCCATTTCTTGGTAGCTGGGTCAAAGTAGTTCTCTCCCCAGAGCCTTTCCATCATCTTTGATTCATCAACTCCAAACTTGGATGCATACATCTTGGCAAAGTTGGTCAAAGTAAAAGCCCATCCGTGCAAACCAGCTGAAAAGGCAACTGTTCCTTTCTCTGGATAGACCTGGACATCACCAAGAAGGGGGTCTTCGTATGTAGCCATAATGACATTAGCATTCTCAATAACCCTCTGGAATGCTTGGTAAGCCTCCTCTCCATCGACCTGGAGCTCAAGGAAGCACCTGTCCGTCTTGTTAACAGTCAACACAGGCCTGATCCTTTCTCCTGAGGCTTGACGAAGCAGAGTCTCTGTTTGGATACAGACACCTCAATGCAATCAATCACCACAAGTGCACCATCAGTAACACGAAGAGCAGCCGTGACTTCAGATGAAAAGTCAACGTGCCCAGGGGAATCAATGAGATTGATGAGGTACTCATTTCCGTTTCTCTCCCCCTTGTAGCTCTTCAAAGCTTCATCAGTCATCTCATAGTAGAGAGAGATACCAGTAGATTGATTGTGATACCACGCTCTGCCTCATCTGCACGGGTATCTGTCATCCGGACATCACCAGCAACTTCTTGTGCAATGATACCAGCAGCAGCAACAAGAGAGTCGGTAAGGGTTGACTTCCCTGCATATCAAAATTCAGTACCATTATAGCTGTGAACAAACACACAGGACATTGAAACATGAACAAGAATTTAATGCAAATTGGAAAGCAAAATGACAATTATACATTTGAGCAGGCCATAATCAACCAGATACAAGAAAGCAGCTCAAATTAACTCAAACAGAATACCATTAATCACTCCATTATGAGCAGGTGAGTGAAAATAGTGTTACAAATATAAGAATTATCAAGTGAAAAAAGTTATCGATACCATGATCAACATGTGCAATAACGGACATATTGCGAATGTTATGCTTGTAGTCCATAATCCTACGGA